ATCTGAATGCGCAGATACTCAACATGACAATCTTCCTAAGCTGGGTCCCAAAGAGAGTCCCACAATGCCCATAGCTGTATTGAACCATGCCAACAAACAGGGGCTAGCAATTTTCGTTTCCACCAGGGACAGGTATTTTGTCAAGTTTATGGGTTTTAACTGTCAATTCCAGACCAACCCATCTTCATATGCTTCATATTATTATTATGACAGGAGGGATCACTCGCAGCAGTATGTTGTTGCTAGAAATATGGATTTCCCCACCGCCAGCTACCGTGAGGATTGCAGCTAAATTCAGGAAACAAACAGGGGGTGTTGCTTTGGGTTGGAGAAGATCCGTTGGAGCTGCTTTCCTGGGGACATGAAGGACTCATCCTCCCCCCTTTCCCCCAGTGATGCCTCTGCTCTTTCCAGGGCTTTATCTCTCTCACCCACACCACACCTCAGATGGCTCAGTGTGGTGCGGGAAGGGAGGCAGCTAATTGTGCCCCCTCCCCCTGTTCATTGCTGGTCACCTGGCCCCTCCTCCTTCATTCATCTCAGGCCAGCAAACAGTTCTAAGAACCAACAGTACATTTAGGAAGCAGTTCTATAGAATAGGTGCGAACCTGCTGAATCCCACCTCTGCTGATCTCCCCTTCCATGGTTGGATCACTTCCTGTTGAGATTTAACCTAACTTCAGTGACTTCCTCACCCCACCGGGGAGAATAAACCAGTGAAAATGGTCTGTCTCTGGTGGCTTCTTTATCTGGATATGTTCTGGGAGGCCTTCAGGGGCTATCCGGTTGATCTGGTTAGCAATCCTGCTGAAGCCAAGGTCAGCAGATGGTACACTGATGTGACCCTGGTGGTTGACACAATTGCTCCCAAATGCCCTCTTCACTACAGAGCCCAACACTCCCTCTGGTTTAAAGAGGAATTTCAAGCCATGAAGTTAGTAAGGAAACAGCTAGAGAGTAAGTGGATGAGAGCCCTGTTGGAGTTTAATTTGGCTTAAATTTAATTTATCTTGACCGGATATACCTGGATATTACGGTTGTGTAAGGTCTTAATGAAGAGATAGATTTCATTCCTCTCCTATAGTCTCACTGCTGCTCCCCCACACCCAGGAGGTCCACTATTCATCAGTTTCATGCACACCAGTCTGGCCTTGTAACACAGCTGTGCAATTATCTGTGCATAAAGATGTTTCTCTCTTGCAACATGACATTGCTCTTTCAAAAGGAGCTGGACTCAGACTTAATAAACAGTTTCCCCTCCCTAAAACATAGCTAACAAAGTACAATATTCACAGTGTGTATTCTGATCTCCTTATGATAACATGTAAAGAAATTTTACTGTTAAAATGGAATGTGTTGTGCTATCGAAATCATTTAAATTATATTATATATAATATGCAATCATACTTATTTAACCAGAGAATTTATAATACAGGCCTATAGACTAGTATTAGCAGTTCGTATATTTTTCCCCTAGGATGTGGGGCCAGTGTGATAGGAACACACGATGTACCAACACTTCTTTTCATCTTCTTAAAGCTATCCAAAATAACATTTATCATAGACAAACAAATGTCAATCACTGCAATTTGACAAATTAAAATTTGCTCCTGATTTCCCTTTCCCTTTTTAGGTCTAAATTTTATTTTCCCTAAACAAATTATCCTAAATTCAATCTTCTGTCATCTTCTTATCCCCTGCTTTAAAACCTGCATTTTCCTGCAGCTGCTCATACACAGCTATTTCCATTTTGAAATCCATGTATAAACATTCCCTTCATTGCAATTATATTAGCAATGACATGCCAGATGTAAGTGTTGCTTTTTATTTTTTTATTTTTTTGCTGGGCAGTTGAAGGAATAGGGATACAATCTGTGCTGGATGAAGTTATCTTCCCCTGAAAACTCAGGTTCACAGCTTGCATGTATTCCTGGAGTCATCCTTGAGCCTGAATGTCCAGGTTTTGGTGGTGACCAGGAGTGCTTTTGCACTATTAAAACTGGTGTGCCAGTTGTGCCCATTTCTGAAGACATCTGATTTGGCTACAGTGATGAATGCCTTAGTTACATCCCGCTTGGCTCTGTGTGGGGCTGCCTTTAAAGACCATTTGGAAACTGGTTCAAAATGTGGCAGTCAGACTACTGACTGGGACCAGTTATAGAAAGAATATAACACTCCTGCTACAACAACTGCTAGTCCATTTCCGGGCCCAATTCAAAGTACTGGTTATTACCTATAAATCCCTATATGGCTTGGGTCCAGGCTACTTGAAGGACCATATCTCCCCATATGAGCCTTCTCGGCACTTAAGCTCAGCAGAGGAGATCCTCCTCTCTGTCCCATTGCTAGTGCAGGAACTGTTGATGGGGACACGAGAAAGGACCTTCTCTGTGGCTGCTTCCACCTTATGGAATGCTGTCCCTCAGGAAATCATGTTGGCCACCTCCCTTTTACCCTTCTTGTCAACAGCTGAAGACCCACATTTTCAGGCAGACTTTTAACAATCATGATTGAGTCCCTAAATGCCATTTTTAAGTTAAGATAGCTTTTAATGTTTTACCTGTTTTAAATTATTCAATTGTATTTTATAGTTTGTTTTAAAAATATATAACTTATTATGCTTTTAATTCTATTATTTTCAGCAAGAAAGAAAGAAAGAAAGAAAGAAAGAAAAGAAAAGAAAAGAAAAGAAAAGAAAAGAAAAAAGAAAAGAAAAGAAAGACACTGCTACAGAGAATCATGAGTGTATGACAACAAGCCACACAGTTGGAGGGGTCTGGTTGCCTGCCTGTCCTCATCACTGGTTGAATTACTGGTCACGTAAGCAGATACACAACCAACTTGGTGACAGATATTCCTATATTGCCACAGCCACAACACATGACACTGAACAGGGCACTGGACAGAGTGTTTTGGCATAGCTGGTCTTGAAAATCTATCTTGATTTTACAGGTACTTATTCCAACTGGGTATGACATGTTGGGTAGATTTATTTGTGGATAGATATGATGGGCTACTACCAGAAGGTTGAAGTGTCCACCTGCTACAGAGATTTAAATAACACATAATGTAAGTTGCCATTTCAATGAGGAGTGTACAAAAAGGGGGCACTGAGAAACAGGGCTTGCAGGAACTAAAAGCATCCTATATTTTTAAAAAGGAACTTTAACTCACAAAAGAGCCCAGTAAAGACAGGTCATGCGCAGTAGTCACAGAGCACTGAAAAACTGTATAATTAGGGGTGGATGCAATATCCCTGAAGGAACCCTGAACCCTTTTCAAGAAATTGTTGCTATGGTCCAATATTTTTGGTTTTGATTTACCATACAGCAACTTTGCTGTTGGTTTACAGCAGTAAAGTACCATGGCAAGAGCATTACAGTAATGGAGTACAGTAGAAGAATGAATACCTTTAAAGAAAAGCAGTTAGAACCTTTTGACCCAGTTTCCAAATGTACTCTCAGACATACAAATCTAAATCCACCTTGTCCCTTTTCCAGTTGTTTTATGCCTTTAGCATTAGTATTTTGGAAGCGTCTTGTAGCTCTTGGAAGTCTTTCCTCCCTGATATATTTGGTAATCTTCCAGTCCTGTACTTTTTATTTTGTATCTTCAGCTAATCAACATCCTAATTACAAATAATCTGGCTTGCCTATGGATTAATTTCCATTTCAGCTGAAATGCAGCCACAGCAGTTTTTCAAAGAGAGCAGAAAGTAAACATCAGTCTTTGCCTTGCCAGGCACTCCAAGGCTGGATGCAGATGGAGCATCAGACTGCACAACGACTGCTATATGGGGAGAGCTTTCATGCTGGCCTTCCAAAGTCTTTCTAAACCCAGCCTCATGAGACATTGCTGTGAATCAGTTTAGGCCCTGGGCTTTCCCTTCAAGCAGTACATTGTCCCTTTGCCAAAGGGATTTTCTCGAAGAGACTTGTTTCAGCATCAGCTTTGCAAATTAACCCCACGTTTACCTTCTAGCATAGAATTAGAATACAAGACATGCTAAATACTATGTCAATAGGTAAGAAAAATCATGCCGTGTGACAAACAGATGTATTTCACCACTTGAGGAAACAATCTTTTCCAAAACATGCAAAACCTATCCTCTAGCTTGATATTAAGTTTCTTGAGCTATAGTAAAAGGCTCATGAGACTGAGGAAAGCCTCACAAGACTTTGCCTCAGGACAGGCAAAGACTTGCAAGACTGGGGCAGGGCCTCCCCAATGCCAGCTAAAAACAGCAGAAACCAGTGGCTCAAGAGGTAGGAGGATCTCTAGTTCCTGGATATTTAGTATATGCCTCTTTTGCCTCTACTGTATGTATTTGCTAAAGAAAATCTATTTTCTCGGCTACCTGAAACCCACCCCCATTTTAAAAATGTCTGTTATTTGGCTGGCATTGCCCCTTGAGAAGTAGGCTGAGAGGTGCTAGCAAACAGTGAACAAAATAATGTAATACAACACCAAACCCATCCACTTCATGGACACAACCCTCTTAGAAGACAGTTAAAATGAAGGATTTTTTTTCTGCTCACGTCTCAAGCTCTAAATATTAAACCAGAAAAGGCTAGGCTAAATCTATGGAGAACAAAAACAACACACCTTGTCAAATAGATGAATGCTGAAGAATGTCGCCCACCTGGACAAGACTCTAGCTGGACCATCTGGAAGTCACTTAATAGACTTCAAAGTGAAGTAGGAAGATCAAAGAATAATCAAGTACAATGGGGCTATTTGGATACAGGACAAATGTTATATGTCTGTGGAGAAATTCAATCAATGCAGCACTTACTCTATGTGCATGCAATTTATTGTCCACTATGTGTACAATAGAAGATGCAGCAAACTGCTTAAATATCGCTATTGAAGTAACCCACTTCTGAACAAACATAATCTAATTATCTCAACATTTAAATTTGATTATAATTTTACCTGCATTTCCATATACAACTAAAGTTTTAAATTGTACTTGAAATAGAAGGTGTCTTCAAACAGATTGTCCTCTGTAAAGGACATAAGGCCTATTTCTGAGAATGAACCCCAACAATGAAATCAGTGGAACTTCTTTTTAAATATACAATAACTGTATTATACGTGTGTGTTATATATATGTATCATATATATACACATATACATAATATTTCACTGTACTATTTTGATATTCTTTTGGCCTTAATGTTTCAATAAATATTTAAATATAAAGATTAAATTTAATGAAACCTGATGTGTGCACACAACGTGTACTATGCTGTGGAAAATTGTTTAGTGATTATTGTGTTCAGAGAAAATGAAGAGTCACAGCAGAACACCTAAATCTCCCTTCTCCCTTCAGATTCACCCTCTGAATTCATTTTTAAAATTAACATTTCCTTGGAATTCCTTTCCTTAATAAAACTCCACATAAATTTGAAGTGAAAACACTCTTGCACTGAAAAGTAAGGATGGATAAATCAGTTTTGCATTAGTTTCATGTGTGTTTGTTCCCAAATCCCTTTCATCTTAATTCCTCATTAAAGTGATATTGAAAATCGGCATTAAAATCTACAAATTTAAAAATTAAATAATAATAAATTAAATAATAGTTCATGTATATTTTTTCACACAATAAATAAGTCTAGAACTATTTTATATTCAATGTGCATGTTCCTTCATTATCCTAAATAGACATAATTCTAAAGGCTTTTTTTTGTAAGATGCTTATCTTTAAATACAGTTTGATATGGGGGGCAGTAGCAGAAAACTGAAAGGCAAAATCCAGGTAAATGCAAGATACAAAGGATAATTACATTCTGATTGGCAAATTTGTCTCGGAAGTGGAATGCAAAGTTATTCTGCCAGGACAACTCAGAGCACTGTTAGAATGAGCACAGTGCAACCAACGATTATTACTTTTAAACTCTTAACGTCTGACAAAGTGGACTTGTCCACAAAAGCTCACATTAAAATATAGCAGTTAGTCTTTAAGGTGCTACATTGTTTTTGTCTTTTTTGTCTTTTTCTTTTCTTTTTGCCTGGTATACTTTTAAACTGATGTCACCGGAAGAGTTAAGAATGTGCTTAACAGTACAGTCTTTTAAGTATCTATTCAGAAGTCAATCCATCGATGTTCAATGGACAATCTGACTAGGTAAGTGCATATAGAGTTGCAGCCCAATAACAACATCCTAACTGTGTCTTCTCAGATATAAATAGCACTGATTTTAATACAGTTTACTTTCTTGTAAACATGACCCGGATTGCAACTGAAATCTTATCAAATTGTAGGACTTTAAAAAATATTTAATTTTGGAGAGATTAGATCCATTGGGGGAAAAGCATTGAAAATACAGAGAAATAATACAGGAATGAGAATGTTAATAGATCGGGGCTACAGTATCAGAATTATGCATGGATCTTTCTTTAAAATAAAATTTTACTTATGAGTAGCTAACACCTAAGATTAAACAGTGTTCAAGCAGACAAAAAGAAAGGAAAGGGAAATAGCATAGTAGCACCCTTCACACAAATATCACCAAAGCCAGAAATTGGTAGATGAAATCAAATCTGTAACCCATACCTTGTAAAATGTGTAAGCAATAAGTCACAATGTTTTTCACTTCAAACATCTATGTATCTATTTTTCTAAAAAGTTGTTTTAGCATTTATGCTTAATGATAGAGCCCTGATCCAAAAGAAATCTTTAAAATAAGCAATGGGGAAAAATCTAAACAATCTTAACAAGGTTTTACGAATAACAAGTAAGATACTTACCCATTAACCCAAGTCACATACCTACCCCTCCAGGACCGTGGTTCTTGAAAGACTGGATCTTTTATGTAAAGCTCTACTGATAATTTTTTTCACCAAGGCAGCAATTTAGCAGGGTGAATTCACAGGACATGAGTTATTATAACCAACCCACTGTGAGAGGAATCAGTCCCAACCCACTTGACACTTTCTATTGCATCACCAGCTCTGAACATACTGTCAAAATTGAAATTGGCAAAGATATGGCTTACATTTTTATGCCATTCATTCTCTGTGTCCTTTTTGTTTCAAAGGAGGAAAGAATGAAGAGGAAATGGCTTTCATTTCATAAGTGCTGTTAACCTCCACCCTCAGTCACACTGCACAGAAGAAGACATTGCTGCTTGCAGTTTCTAATGCTGAATCAAGATGCTGAAATGGCCTCTTTCCCCCTCACTCTCATACATCTGTAAGTCCCTCCACTGCTCCTTATTACAAGCTTGGCTTTATAATAAGCCTAGCAACACATCAAGGCTTTAATAGCCATGTACAATAGCAACCCAAGTAATACAGCAACGACCCTTCCCAGAGAAACATCTGAAGAAACTAGCAATTCGTCATCTTTATACTGCTTAACAAACAAAAATTTAATTTTTTGTCTCATGCCCCTATGGAATCAATGTATTGTGACATTTCTAAAATGTACAATCCATTTTTAAAAAAATTATGAAAAAGTTGTGTCCAACTCTTCATGACCAGAGCACGCCAGGCCCTCCTGTCTTCCACTGCCTCCCGGAGTTGAGTCAAATTCATGCTGGTAGCTTTGATGACACTGTCCCACCATCTCATCCTCTGTCATCCCCTTCTCCTCTCGCCTTCACACTTTCCCAACATCAGGGTCTTTTCCAGGGAGTTTTCTCATGAGATGGCCAAAGTACTGGAGCCTCAGCTTCAGGATCTGTCCTTCCAGTGAGCACTCAGGGTTGATTTCCTTTAGAATGGATAGGCTTGATCTCCTTGCAGTCCAGGGGACTCTCAAGAGCCTCCTCCAGCACCACAATTCAAAGGCATCAATTCTTCGGCGGTCAGCTTTCTTTATGGTCCAGCTTTCACTTCCATACATCGCTACTGGAAAAACTGTAGCTTTTACTATGCAGACCTTTGTCGGCAAGGTGATGTCTCTGCTTTTTAAGATGCTGTCTAGGTTTCTCATTGCTTTCCTCCCAAAAAGCAGGCATCTTTTAATTTTGTGGCTGCTGTCACCATCTGCAGTGATCAGGGAGCCCAAGAAAGTAAAATCTGTCACTGCCTCCATATCCTCCCTTTCTATTTGACAGGAGGTGATGGGGCCAGTGGTCATGATCCTAGTTTTTTTGGCGTTGAGCTTCAAACTAATTTTTGCACTCTCCTCTTTCACTCTCATTAAGAGGTCCTTTAATTCTTCCTCACTTTCTGCCATCAGAGTGGTATCATCTGCATATTGGAGGTTGTTGATATTTCTTTTGGCAATCTTAATTCCGGCTTTGGATTCTCCATATGATACCAGTTCAGTGTTTTTATTGCAATGTTCATAATATTCTTTCTTTAAATAGTTCATATCAGTCTGAACCTTTGCTGTATCCAATGCTTCTAACTCTGCTCTAGTTTTTTTAGTTCAATAAGTATCTTCTTTGATCCTAATTGTTTATGTTGATCTGATAGCTTTTTAATTTTATTTTCTAATTATTCTTGGAGCTTATTTCATTTTTTTCCTTTATTCTAGAGGCCTCCATAATAAATATTTCTCTTAAAAAGCTTTTAGAGTATCCCATAGCAATGCTGATTTTATCATTTATTTCACAGAAAATTTTAATCTCTTCCTTTATTTTTCCAATAATTTCTATATTTAAACATATGTTAGAATTCAATCTCCAAATTCTAGATTTGCTCTTTGCTTCATTGACCCAAAAGAGTTTTAATGGTGCATGGTCAGAAGCTATCACTGAGGCAAACTGCATTTTATCCAGATTTGAGGCCAAGGTCTCTGAAATAAGGAAATGATCAATTTTTGAATAAGTAGAATATCTCTTAGAAAAATATGTGTATACTATCACTCTAGGATTTAAATAGCTCCACCCATCAATTAAACCTGATCTCTCTATTAGCTTCCTAATTTTATTATCATCATTTGACACCTTTCTATTTTTTGATGTTGCATCAATTTTGTTTAAAATACAATTTGTGTATCTGCCTAGGATAATTTCTCCCCAGGCAAATTCTTTGATCTTTCTTAAAAAGTTCTGCATAAAATTTGTTTGACCTTTATTGGACCTATATTATGACTATATTGGAGGCATAATAAGAACCAACAGTTAATAGTCTATCCTCCAGTTTTCCTTTTACTATAATATATCTACCTTCACGGTCTCCTATATAATCGATCACTTCAAATTTTGAATTCCTCATAAAGATTATTGCCACCCCTCTAGCCTTATTTGTTCCATTTTCAATATATTGTTCACCTAACATTGGGTGCTTAATAATCTCTTTCTTTTTCTTACTTTGATGACTCTCCTGTAACAACAACACATCTACTCTCACTTTTTGAATAGTCTTAATGATTCTATATCTTTTCACTGGGGACCCCAGCCCATTCACATTATAAGAGAGGATTTGGAGATTATCTAACATTGCAGTCATATGTTGTGCAAGCTGTATTTGCAAATATATTCTTTTGCAGTATTTGTCTAACAGATTTTTTATATATTGTGGTGTAGAGTCTATAATCATATTTTACTAAGCAAGATTGTCCAATTACTTCTATTTTTCTTTTCAGTGTCTCCAAATTTACCATTCCCAATGCCCTCCCACCCTTTCTACCCTCCCTCACCCTCACCCTGTTCCAGCAAAGGTCAGTGAGAACAAGTCTCCAGCTGATATTAGAGCTGTACCCTATGGAATTATAGGGAGTCAGGGATCTGAAAAGTCCCTAAAACAAAGACCAGTTCTTTCCCCATGCCTGCTTTAACCCTCTTTAATCTATAAATATACTAATATAACAAACTGCAAATTATCTATGTTTGTTTATAAATAATGTATATCTTGCTTATCATTATGTTAAGCTATTCTAAACGTATATTTTAAATATTCTTAAAAATATGTTCCTCTTTTCTAAGATTCGAGAGTTCCTTTCTATCATATCTTTTATTTTAAGTACTATTTTATATTATTTTACCATCATATAAGCGTGAACGGTAACAGTACAATATACTGACTTCTATGTTATTAAAAGAGTTATTAAAATTTGAACTTTAATTTGAACTTACAAATTGCATCAGCAAGGGCCTTAGCTTCAATTCGAGAAGTATTTCCAGATAAATTCTTTAGGCTTGTGTCATCAAAGATCTCTATTAAAGCATCATATATACGACCAAGATGATATCTCAGGGGTTTTAAAACATTGATCTGACTCTCCCATCTTGTTTGACTCAGTGGCTTAACAATTATGCCTGATATACGGCTAGTTAGAATTTGCCAACACTGCAGAGAAATAATTATAGATCTGCTGAATCAAATTGAAGAAACTTGTTGCTTCCAGGCAACATTTAGCGGCATCGACTACCAAGTTTAATGAGTGTGCATTGCAGGGCACAAAAAGGGCACATGGATTTATGTCTTTATTGCTTTTCATGTTACTCCCATTATCATAACCGTGATCATGCAGATCCTCAATTGGTAATCCCATTTGCTCAAGCTGTCCAAGAAGAGTTTCTGTCATAAAGGTACCTATAGTGTCCTTTAGTGGAACAAATCCCAAGAAATGTTCTTTTATCATAACCTCAGGTTTGGACATCTCAGTATCTGATGGTTTGATCACATTGACAAAACATACAATCATTGTCACTTGTTCAGTATGACTAACATCAGGTGTGCAGTCCAAAATAACTGAATAGTACTTGGCTGACTTTATATCTGCTAAACGTTTCTGTTTTATAGCAACCGCTAGAAGTTGTACAAGTTCATTTTGGATATCTTTTTCTAAATAGTGAACCATTGTTTCTTCATTTTTAACTCTGCACAAATGTCCATTCATGATAGGATCAAAAAGCGCTAAATATTCTACAAATTTCAAAAAATTCCATTGTTAGCACTATACATATTGTCAGTAGTACCAAGTTTTGCATGCCAAGAAGTCTGAACAAAGCAATCAAGAATTCCAAGATTTTTTTTTTTGCCAATATTGTTCTTCTTGCCTGATTTTCTGCTGGTTAATATCATCAATTGTTTTTCCTTTATATAAGTGCAATTCAAGTTCTCTCCAGGTCTGATAATTTTCTAAATGGAGATTTATCTCATGTGAAGACAGAATTGCTCCAATGTTCTTCCAGTCTTTTGTACATTTTTCTTGTAGCACCAATGCACTACTAATTTTGTTGAACAGCTTACAACAAAAACAAAAAACCCACATTTTTGAGGTGGAATATATCAGACATTGATGGGACATCTCTTCACCATTTGCTAGTCTCCTTTTGTAGTCATGTGATATAGCCTGCTGTGGTCCATTCTGTACTATAAGCTGTCTCAAATTATCACTGCAATAGTTAGGCCAGTTAGCAGGATCAGTGTAATCCAAGCTGGGCACAACATTATCTCCTTTTGCAGTCATTCCAGTACTCTCACTTTCCTTGAAATCCTCTTTTTCAAGTCCAGCCCCTGTCAAGGTGACACAGTGGGGAATCAAATTTATCCCAGCTAATCACATTCAGCCCAACATGCTTTTACAGGCTCTGCTTTTTAGACCTTCAGATTCCTCATGTGAAAGCCTGAGCAATTTCCAGATGGGATGGAAATGTGGGGCCACATTTGTCCTCACCGCCTTTTTAGCCCTCTCCATGGTTTCAGATGTAAAGCCTGAATGAATCTCGAGACATCCAGGAGAAGGACTTTCTTTCAGCTTGAATTTAGGTAGTAAAAAAAGAGAGTCAAAGAACTGATAAATGTGACCTGGCTGACAAGAAGGCAACATGTAGTTCACTTTCATAATCTCAAAGTCAGACTAGGTCATATTTAACCTTTTTTAAAGAAAGGGATGTCCTATCAACTATTGAAAGACTTTGGCTTGACATATCATGTGATTTTCCTCAGTAAGTGTCTTGCGTTTACTATGCTTTATTTTGTGATTTATCATTGAAAGATAAGCATGGGCTCATTTTGCACGTCTATTGTTAGAGGGAGTGTTTTTTTTTAGCCATACAGAATACATATTCTCAATAATATCCCTTGACCATAAGATAGGATTAGTGCTATGCTGCGAGGCACAGTTGCTTCTTTTATATTCTGTTTGTTTATTTGGAAATAAATAAGTAATACAGAGCACTGTAAATATCCACTTCTCTTACTAAAAGGAAAATAAACCTTCTAGTACTGCTCAGGGAAACATGCTGTGAGCATATAACAATATGGGGTATGTTTGATAATTCAGAAAATTCTACATTCAGTTGAAATTCGTCTGTATTGAGGTAATTATCCATGAAAGAAAAGTTAGAGTGTACATAGAGTGTACATACATAATCTGGCTAGATCAAACTGAGTATGCAATCAAATATGAGGATCATTTAGTTTGATTTATGGCACTGCTTACTGAAAATCTTGGATCTTTGTGCAAACTTTTAAACACAAGAACCTGGAATGAACCGTGAATTAAGAAAAATATTTAGAAAAAAGAGTTTTGCCCTCTTGGGATATTTTTGGTTATATGAAAGCTAAGGAATGAGTTGCCAGAAAATGCTAATGTTAGAACAGTTTGGTTCTTTAAAAATCAATAAGATACTCAGTTCAGGGATGCTCAAACTAGCTTACAGGCCATTGCCTTTTAAGATGCTTATATTTTCTGTTCTAGAGTTAGGCCAAATCATTTATCTTGCTCCCCCATCCCCCAGCAGTTTTTAAGACATTGGAAGATAAGAAAGGGCAATCAAGTTGTATGGTATCTCTATAGGCAGAGTGGAAGATAAGAAAGATAGGAAGATAAGAAAGGGCCTCATTTTTAGGGGTCAGATTTTAGACGCAAGATAAGGTAGCATAAGGCTAAACAAAATATCCTCCTCTCTTAAAAGACAAGCTTTTGGCAGTGCTACAGTGAAGAGTCTATAAAATGTGCTTCAAGAACAACATTGCTGCATTATGTGATATAGCACTATTCAGAGAGACACAGCATAAGAAATATGGCTATCTTCCCTGCACAGTGTGAGACACACACATTTAATAAGGGCAGTGAAAGGATAAATTAAGCAGTAGGAGAACAGTAGCCAAACATATCACAGATAATATTGTGTAATATGGTAATATGGCTTGTTTCTGGACTGCCAGGCTTCATCATCCCAGAAGAATTTGGAAATTAATTTTTTTGAATTAATTAATTTTTTTGAACACTACAGTGGTGCCTCGACTTATGAACATCCCTACCTACATTTCGACTTACAAACAGCTCCATTTGCAAAATTTTGTTTCGACTTGCAAATGGAGCTTCGACTTACTAATGAAAAAAACGTGGGGAAGGGAGGGAAAGTGGGAAATCTGAACTTTCAGTTAACCATTGGCCAGTGAAGAGGCGGGTTTTTTGGGGGGGGGTGTTATTTTTTTATTTTGGGATTTTTGATTTTCTTTTTTAAAACAGAGAGACTGCCTGTTCTGGGTGAGTACACTGTATTTACTGTACAGGGGTTTTGCAGCTTGCGGTTGGGCTAGATAGGGGTTATGTTTCTGTGCTCTGATGGGCCTTGCAGATCCTTTCTGCAACGGTCTGTGCTGGCTGTTGGGCTCCAAAATGGAGTTTAGACTCTCCTCCCCCCCCAATTGTCTTCTCTCTCTCTCTCTATGCTCCCCAGGTGCTTGGTTTGGTTTAAAATGTGTTTTCTTTAAAAGGTGTTTGGTTTAAAGGGTGTTTGGTATAAAATGTGTTGGTGTAAAATGTGTGGGTTTAAAATGTGTTTTAGACTCCACACTCTCCCCCCCCCATTGTCTTCTCTCTTTTTGTGCTTAAAAGCACAAACCTTTGTCTGAGGGGTCTGTGTGCCCCAGTGATGACCTTCTTTCTATCCTCTTTTCCCCATTTTTCTCTCCCTCCTCCTTTCCTGTTCTTTTCTTAACCTAAGTAATCTTAGGTTTTTTTAAAAAAAATTCTCCCTCTAGTGGTAGAGGATGGATTAACCGGTTTTTCATTAGTTCCTATGGGAACTAATGCTTCGACTTACAAATGGTTCCTCTACATACAACCAAAAAACAGCCAGAACGGATTAATTGGTTTTCAGTGCATTCATATGGGAAATGCTGATTCGATGTATGAACGTTTCAACTTAAGAACATCTTCTGGGATGGATTAAGTTTGTAAGTCGAGGCACCACTATATACAGAATTGCTGCTAAACTGGAAAAAAGTGTTTGGACGAAAAGAAACGTGTGTCAGTCAGAATAGGAAGGGGTAATGAGTAGGGCGAAGATTTTTGTGACATGTCATACTTTTTCTGAAACCTTTATTTAAATTTATAAGTAAAACATGTTTTTGAGTAATCCGGCGAGAATTACATGGTTTTTATTTTGCTTAGAGTCATATTTTGACCTTTTCAAAGTGTTATGTCATATTTCTTTTCAAATATTTGACAGGCTGTCATGCAGAGGAGGGGCAAGATCTGTTCTCAATCATCCATTGTTCAATGTTTTCTGTATCTTCTTGAATATAGTCCTTATTTAGTTGTTATGTGATCAATTGCACGTCTTGTTTCTGTGATCTCACTATTTCTAAGATTGCTTGCAGGGTAGATTTTGTTTCCTCCCAAAATTTCACTTGTTGTGACATTATGTCCTCAGATTCCAGGTAGTTGCATTTCAAGTGACAAATGTCTAGTAGTTTAAAGCAGTCAGTCCAGTTCCATCAATAGTTGCCTTAGTAAGCTGATCATCTTTAGGGTTAATTGAATCCAGTCTCTGACCTTGTTTGGCAGTCACATTCACTTGATGTTTGTATTAGCCTTTCCAAAATTAACTGTCTATGTTTCAAATCAGGTTTCTAAACTTTTTCAAGGTCATGTTTCTAGGCTATTTGCCAACACTGTAGATAGACATTATTCTGAGCATTGTTTGCAAAAACAATTTTAAGAAGAAAATTTCTTAAGTTTAGCACCAAAGTAATACAGAACTTCTTCCCTTGCAATATAATTAAGTGTTTTATTAATGTCGAATTTATTTTCTTTGCTTCTGTCTCTTTTTTTTAATTGGATTTCTACGCCACTCATCTAGAACAAAGGTTTACACTGGGCGGCATTACAAATTTAAAAACTGTTAAACCAATAAACATGCACTATTAATCCAAGATGGTAAAACATGAATTTAAGATACAGCAGGAAGGAAAGCCTGCCTTAATAGTCAGGTCTTGACTTTGCTTCTGAAGACACCCAGAGAGGAAGCCAGGTGGATCTCCATGGGCAAGTTGTTCCAGAGGCGAGGGGCCACTGCCGAGAAGGCCCGCTTCCTCATTCTTTCCTTTTGGACCTCCCTTGGCATTAGGCCCCTCAGCCTGGCTGGAACGAGTGACACTGGTAGAACTGTTGTGAATCTTCCTCTATCAAGATTATGCAATACTGTATTCCTTTTCTGAAACCTTGGCTGGACGCTTGGCATATCCGTATAAAATCTAACTTCAGTGGATTATCAAGAGCAATAATCCACCATAAAACTGTAGAAATGGAACTTAGTGATAAACTGGAAATTGTGAAAACAAACTAAGGGTGATTTAAAGTAAGCAAAGGGGAAAGTGGCTGAAAAAAAATTAGTTATAAACTTGCCAAGGGTGCTGCAATTTAATATGGGTTAGTCAATGTTTTGCAAAATAATTTTTTTGCACCATAAGACACACTTTTCCCTTCAAAAAAGTGAGGTGAAAAGTCTGTGCATCTTATGAAGAAAATACACTGCGTTTGGTTCCCTCTAGTGGTCAGTCTGATAATTACAACTTTTTTACAACGCTGATCTGGAAGGACCCTGCCTCAAGCTTGCTGGGACTAGGCAAAATGATGGTGGCTTAACAGACCCCCTCCAGTATTGTACTCTGGGGTACAGTAGCACTGTACTCTGAGGTATTAGTAGCACTGATACTACAGGGCATCCGTAGCAGCCCTGTAGGACCAGTGCTGCTTACTGGACAGCCAGATCACATGACCAGCCAGATGCTGGGGGAAGGAGAGAGAGAGAGAGAGAGAGAGAGAGAGAGAGCTCCACAGAGGAAGGTAGAAGACTCGTCCAGGTACCATAAATAACATAATACAGAGGAATTCCTGGATGGATTGCCGACTGGTGACATTAAGGGGCACATGAGGCATTGTTGGTGAAAAGTAGGATTTGTTTCAGTTGCTTACTGAGTGAAAGGCTTTTAGTTCTTTTGAGATTTGTCATACTATTCAAAGTAACCCACTCTAATGGTATCTTAAGCCTGAATTTTTGATACTTTGCACTGATGTATTGCACCTTGGGGTGTCTATTTCACTCTCCTAATAGTGAAAATAATTCAAAATGTACTATATAAAGTAATAGACCTCCTCACATGGGACCACTCTGCCTATAGAGATACCATACAACTTTATTACACTATTTGGTTCAGAATATTTTTTCCTGT